ACTGTTTTAAATACGGATAGGCGCAGTAAAATGTGCATACAACAACTGAGGGTAAAGGTTTTAGACATTCTTTTATATAACAGAAAAGTAATTCAATACTTATTTAAAGAGTTTATAAATTGATTTATATAAAAAATTATTAAATTAAACTAAACTAGGTTTTGAGATGAAACAATAAAAATAATAGAAAAAAGAAAAAAATAGTTATACAAATAATACTTAAACAAACTAAATATAGCATAGAGTAATTAATGAACAATACCTTTACTGTTTTAATTATTTAATGAAAAAAAAAAATTTTTTAACTTGTATTATTAGAAAACTGGGATATCTAGAAATAACTTGCATTTTTAGAAAACTTGGATATCAGGAAAAAATAAAATTTTAAAGAAACATCCGGAAATCCGGAAATATCCAAAAAAAGATAACCCCTGCAACTCAATATTGTGTAAGTGCATAAGGTCTTATATTCTTATAACATTGTCCTATCAAAAAATGAAATAAACAAAAATTTATGTAAATTTAAACTAATACAGATGTAGTAGAGAAAAAACCTGTCATCATAATCATCTAGCGCCACCTTTTTCCCTTTTGGAGGAGGGTGATGTTTATGTTTAACCAGCCATTGTATTTCATCTCGAGCATGAGAAAGTGCAGTCAATGCAACAAGGAGCTAAAATAATTGCAGATATAAAATTCAATAAAACTGCTATAAAAAAATTGTCATTTTATCTTTTTCTGTTTTATAAGATAATAAATTTTAACCACACACCACCATATTTATAAAAAAAATAAAATAATTAATAAACAAAAATAATAAAATAACTAATAGGCAAAAATAATAAAATGACTATTTAAAATTAATAAAATTTAACACAGAAATCACCATAGTTAAAACATTGTGCACCTTAGTAACATAAAAACCATTGTATACTTTTTAAACAAAGAACATTGTATACCTTAGGGCCAAACAAGCCAGGTTGATCACGAAATATTAAAATCATTTCATCAAATGCTGTTAACAAATATTTTCTACGCTCTCGATGGAAAGCAGGACTATAATATATTCATTATTATTATTATATTATTATAAACAGTTTAATAAACTATAACAAGTAAGGAAATACTACAACAGCTACTTTTTTATTACATTCTTTTTAAGATGTAACTTGCAACTTTGCAGAAATATTTAAAATAAATTATGAAAAGTATAAAACACCTGTACTGCATTGAAGAAGTCAAATATTCTTGAACTTCCTTCCCTCGCTTTGAGTACCTGGAATAAGATAAATTAAAACAAAAAAAAAAAACAAAAAAAATAATTAAAAAAAAGTTGTACTAAATTTATGAAAACAGTTTCATAACATGATAATTTTCAAATATAAATTTTTAAATTCATAAATAAAACTTATTAAAGAAATTCACCAAACAGATAGAAGGATTTTACCTGACCACTGAAAACTACACAAAAAATCTCAAAATTATACTAATTCATTCCACCTAATTTATAACAATAACCCATAAGGAATAGCTTAAAAACACAAAAAATGATGGCAGATCAAAGATGGCTACATTATACAGTAGCATTTTAAATTTTAAGGACAGTCACCTATTTTGCATAAATTTTGAATAACACATTCAGTATTCTTGAAATTTTCACTAAATATAGCTAATAAAATTATTCATCTGACATTTAATTGTCTAATTAAAAAAAAGATAATTGTTTCTCTGCTGTTCAAATATTTAAGGACACATGTAGTTTTATTCATTAAAATTAACATATATGGTTTTAAAAAATTAGATTTGATTTCAAAACACCAGTATTTTGTTGGATAACCTTCAAAGCCAATAACAGCTTAGCAACATTGCTTGGCAACAACACAAAACTGACCCTACTAGCTTGACTTTAACATGGAACCTTCTACCATTCTAATTCAATTAAAGCAAATGTCATTCTTTTTTGTTGGTTTTGAACTTTTAATTGACAATCCCATAAAATTCCCATAATTCCCATAAAAGCTTAATTGGATTGAGATCAGGTCTTTATCATGGCCATTCGAGAATTTTTTTGCTTGTGGATGATGAAGCATTTTATCATTGATAATCTCTTTATATACACACTGATCCATAATTCCTTCAATATGAATAATAGGTGCAATACCCTCACAGTTGAAGCAACCCTACACCATAATACACCACCACCATACTTAATAGTTGGAAGGTAGTGCTTAGGATTGAATCTCTCATCTGCAGGACATTGAACGTACTTAATTCCATCCAATCCAAATCGGATGAACTTAGATTCATAACTCCAAAGAACTTTTGCCCACTGATTTCCTTCTACTCTAAACTTTTTTTTTCCCAATTCAACTTGAGCTTTACGTTCTTTACAGAAACAATTAGTTTCTTTGCTGGTCTTTTGTCAAACAAAGAAGCTTTGCGAGGACATTATTTGGTGGTTAACAGAGTATTTAATTTGATAAAACTTCAACATTTTAGCATTTAAGGCCACAGCAACCTCTTTTTTATTAATAATTTTGGTTTGACTTGTTTGCTTTTTGTTTTCAGTATTTCCTTGAGATTTATATTGTTGAAAAAGTTATCCTACTACAGTCTTAGAAACATTAAAGTGATTTGCAATTTGATAACTAGACACTTTTTGATTTGACTGATTTTAAGATTAATTTATTTTACAGGAGAACTAATTTCTTTTCTTTTTCTTATTTTGAATTGAGAAAGATTAATAAAATTAAATTAAATATGCATTAAAAATTAATTAAAATATTACAAAAAACATAAAAAAATTAAGTGTCCTTAAACTTTTGAAATACAGAAACACCGTTATATTTTTTTTAACTTCATATATAAATGTTATTTTGAAAAAATGTTTTTATTTTCAGATAAATAATATTACTAGCTATATTCAGTGAAAATTTTAGAGATAATTAACTTTAGTATAATTAAATTTAGGGTGTTAATGTATTTAGCCTATTATTTTCCCATGCTCTTACAGAACTCTAATGTTAACCCATCAGGGTTTACATTAGAGTTCATCATCCATCATCTGTTAACCCATCAGGGTTAACAGAAATAAACAAAAAAGGGAATTTCAAGGCAAATCAAAAAATATCCAATTTTTTTTAAGGTTCTTTAGATTGTCAATGCCTAATTTTTTCAGGATCAAATGAATGGTGTAAAAATACAAAACAGACATGCAAACATTTCTTATATACATAAAAAATTTTATTCCTACCCTTTAAGTGATTCAAAAAGAGTTTGAATATCTTTGTGTATATAGATAACCTCATCACGATACAATGTCAAGCAGAATCCATCTTGCAAGCAGCTTTTCCAGGCATCAACAACATTGGGCTGAGCGGTGATTTGGCTTGGGCATAATGTACAACTGACTAAATAAAGCCTTAATAAGTAACTTAAATAATTTGACATTTATTTTACTGAATTAATTGTATCATTTATTACTATAATAATTTACTAACAATAAAATGCTTTAATACTATTATATATTGTATATAATATGTATATAATATATTTACTAAAAACTTTGCAACTAATTTGACATATGGTCTCCAAGAAAGATCGGAAGTAAGAGTTAATCCTAGAAGACGAAGGGTAGGAAGTACATTACCGTTCATAAATATAGAAGAATCTAGATTATTGCGATAACAATTAGCTGAAAAAATTGAGTTTTATCTGAGTTGAAGTTCATTAACCACTAAGAACCCCATTAAGACTACGAGCTCTATGCTGTAGCAGAAGTGAGATCCTTTTCAAGCTCAAATGCCCCCTTCAAGCAATCAGAGAGTGTTGGCTTCTAGTTAAGCTAGTAATGATTCTTTGGTTGTGAGAATTTCTGGGAGATCTTTAATGTAAATTAAAAAAAGTATAGGGCCAAGGATAGAACCTTGAAAAACCCCTGAAGAGACAGGAAATGAAGAAGAGAGCTGTCAATCGAGGACAACATTTATACTACAATTGGTAAGGAAGGATTCAATAATCCTAAAGCTATTACCTGATATACCATAAAAAGAAAATCGAAATTCATATCGATGATCGGAAAGTTATTAGATTCAAGATGAGAGATAAAGTGTTTGTTAATTGAAGACTCACAAAAACCTTGCTTATGATAGGAAGAAGACTAAAGGGACGGTAGTTAGACGAGTCAGATCACTTTCCAGAATTTTTGAAAATAGGGATAACAGATGCTGCTTTTCAGCAGGCTGGAAAACAAGACTCTGATAAGCACTGACTTGGATATATATAATATATATATATATATATATATATATATATATATATATATATATATATATATATATATATATATATATATATATATATATATATATATATATATATATATATATATATATATATATATATATATATATATATATATAAGACCTCAGTGGAAAAACCGGCGTTGTCACATTTAAAAAGTTTTGAGAAAGAATTAATTGATTATTAATAAAAAATTTTATATTAGGTAAAGAAAATAAAAGATGAGGAAAAAAATCAATATTTTGATTAATTTATTTAAAGTTTCATTAAAAAAAAATTTATATAATTTTTATTAGAAATTCCTTTTTTTTTGTTGATTTATAAAGACTTTTATTAATGATCAATAATTTATAAATATTAACTTTTCAGCTTTTAGCTATAGATTTAATGGTAGTGGAAGCTATGCAATATTTAATCAAAAAGATAATGTTAACACTAGCAATATCATACTGACAATTTATATCATACAATCAGGGCAAGAAGCTCTGCTTTCTTTTTAAACAGAGATAGGTCTCTAACAAAATCATTCAATTGTTCTTTAGTTAACAGCTTTGACTCAAAATCTATTTTCCAATGAAATCAGAATTTACAGACGGTCCAAAAACGCCACCAGTTGCACTTTTATCCCTATCCACTTCATCTTTGAAGGAATCTATAGGAATTGGAAAGGGCAATTCTTCACAATGTTTCACTAGCTTATGTGCTGAATTCATTACTAGATAAGCAATATTGTTTTTGTTCTTTGAAGAAAATCCTGTCATATTGACACTAAAAAAATAAGAATTTTCGTGATGATCTCTCAGGTCCCTGCAAATAATGGGTATGGCAAACAGGAATGAAAAATTCTTGTTGTTTATCCAATCACATAATCCGTTTAACCAAACAATGCAGATTTAATGTGACATCTATGGTTTATCTTGGTCACCTAGGTGGTCTGTGTATTTGCATATATGCTTTTATCATAAAAACTGTAAACAATACTACAATTATTATTATAAGACAATAATAAGATATGTGTTTTAGCTTACATTTCTTATATTGTGTTAGTATAAAACTTTACCCAATCGAAACATTAACAAATAAACAAAAAGCCACATAATAAAATAATTTATACAAAAAATTTGATTGTAGTTTTGAAATCAGCGTCAAAAATTGTATCCAGGCAACCCAAAAATATTTCTAATGGAAATTCTTTGTTGACCTGTGTTATTAGTTATAAACATTGAGAAATTTTAAATTGAAAAAAAGTATTAAAAGCATTAAAAGTAATTAAAAGTTGTTAACTAAAGACAACTAAAAAATTGGGTTAGCAAGTTTTTTAAAATATAAGATAAAATAAAAAATGTTTCATTTTTTGTGCATTTTTATTTCATACTTTATACATTCTTTTATTTATTGAAAAATGAATAAAGAAACAAGTTCAAATTAAGAGAATAAGAATATGTGAATGAATTTAATTTAAACTACAGAAATATTTGTAAAATGTTCACTTAAAACCACTTTTAAAACTGAGAACATTCCTGAAGGCACCATCCCTGAAGGCACCACTTATAGAATAACTAAACATGCGAAACTAGCTAGCAAAGAATTTAAAGAAGGCAGAGAATAGGTTAGAAAATGGCCTAAACAAACATTAAAAAAGTCAAACTCATAAAATTAATAAAAACAGATTTTCTTAATTATTTGACAGGTAGCGCAAAAACTATACTTAACAATACATTAAAATATGTAATATTTTTTATAATACATTAAAATACAAAAAACTCAGAAATACATTATTAAAGCATTAATAACAAAGATGAAAATCAAACCAAAAAAAATATGATAATTTTAAAATGTTAAAACTAGCAACAGGTTGTTACAACAACACAGTGCAGCACTAAGAAAGCCCTTTAAACAATACATAAGCAAAAAACAAAAAAAAACTTACATAGTATCCATCTTGTCATTTCTTCAAGGGAAAGGAACTCACAAGGAACCTTTAACAAAAAATCATTTTGAATGTTATACAGTGACTCTTAGATCACATCAATTTTTTAGCAATTACATATATAATTTTTAACCTATTTAAAAACTTTTTGGTACCAAAATCAATCAAAAAAAGGATCAGGTCTATAAATTATATAAAACTATAAATTAAAATCAAAAAAATGTGTCAAAAACATAAGGCTTTCAATTAAATGCATACATAATTCCTTTGGAATTTTATTCCAAATTTTTTCCTTTTCAAGTTTCAATAGTGTAACATTTTCCACATTCTCTCTTGATAATTTCAGGTCCATCTAAGACTAAATATTTGCTATATTTATGGGTTTTAGATCTGGTAATTGAGCTGACTAAGGTCAGGAATAAGTTACCTTTGAAACCACTTGTTCACCGAGTTGTCAATATGTGCCATTCTTTTGGGAAATCTAATTTTTATAATAACTTTTAATTTTACAAAAAATCCATAAAAATAGCAGCCAATAAAAGCCTATTTTTTAAGGTCTATTTGTGTTTATACTGGTTAATTCTCAATGGATAAATATTTTTTCCCTAATAAGGAATGGATTCCCATATACTAGTCAGGCCACCGCTGCTTGCTCTTGTTATACAAAATCTTTCTTTAAATTTCTCTGAAGCTAATTTTTGATGATAACTCTCGATTTATGCTAATTTTTGATGATAACTCTCGATTCTGCTGACCAAGAGTTTCCTTACACAACTTATATCTTTTAGTTATATGATATGCTGCAGTGAAATTTAGACTACACAGTGTAGCTCAGGCTTGGTCAGGAAGCGAGAGCAATCGCTCTTGATTGCTGACAAAGGAAGTTAGGGTTAGGTTTAGAGGGGGCTATAGCCGCAGGCCCCGCAATGTCAGAGCCCCAAAAAAGCCAAGAAGACCTTTTTATTTAGTCATTTTTACACTGTGGGACTTACAAAGGCATCCAAAATAAAAATAACCCTCGGCCCTGAAAAGTCTAACAAGACTCTAATAAAACTAACCCAAGTTTTAGTTTTATCTAAGCTAAATTATTTTATAAATTAAAAAGTTAATTTTTTTAATACCTATTTTATGCTTTGCGTAGTTTGAAAAGTTTAACATATTTGAAACAATTCTTCTTAGAAAGATGAACAAAGCAAATAATTAAACCATTGAATTACTATAGAAATTAAATTAACTAGATAAAAATAAACTAAAAAGGTTAAAAATACTTTATGACGAGGAAGCGAATCTGCTTCACAATATCGCTGATGATGTTTAGTGAGTGGGCTTTTTAATTTTAATTAGTATTTAAAGCTAAAAAAGTATAACGAGTTTTTAAGAATGGTACCTGAAGCGAAAATAGTAAACCAATATCTAGAAGCTTTTCTTTATATCTAATAACTTACTATATATATTTGTGTTCTGCCATGACCTCAGGCGCAGTGCTTGTTCATCCGCGAGTTACTTTGTATGCATTGTTTGTGTTTAGTAACCAGAAACTTCTTATATGTTTGTTACATAATTAGTTTCATTAACTTTAATGATTATTAATAACTTCATTGAAAACACAATTATTTTTGTAAGTCTTTGTTTACAAATTAAATCATAAAAAATGCTTTAAAAGATTACATTACGATGAAAAACAGATACACAAAACTACATTTACATAAAAAATACATACTTTTTAAATAAAAAATAAGAATATACTAATAAAATCTATAATTTATAATAAACTTTCAAAATTTTGACAATTTAAATCATATATATTATAAAACATTTGTAAACAAATAATAAGTTTAAAAGATTTACGGCTTTGCAGATGTGGCTCTGAGAATGAGCTATAGTATTGATAATATATTCTTAAAACAATTTATGCTAAAAATCTCAAAACGTAGCAAATCGTGAATAATACAATTTCTAAAACATTTCAACAGAATACTTTAGAACTTTATTTTGCTTAGTCAGTGTATTGTTTGAACTAATAGAATTAGTTAGTTTGTTAATTTCTCCTTAAATTTCTTCAACTTAATTTCTCCGCGCAGCGGCCTTGCTTGTCAAGGTTCGTGTTTCCGAGTTAAAGAGTTGAGAGAGGGTTGTACCACGATTTACAACAAAAAAAAAAATTAAAAAAAAAAAAAAATATGAGTAGCCTCCTCGACTGTAGTGGCCCCCTCGGGCCTTGAGGAGGTGAATAATTAAAAAAAAAAAATTGGTCTTGAATATTGACCACAGAAATAAATATTATTTCTGTGGTCAATATTCAAGAGCGATTGCTCCCACTTTCCGACCAAGCCTGGTAACTATGTTACTTTTCAAGAAATTGCTGTCAGTCAGTTATTAGCTTAAAAAATCAAGATAGTAATAGTTATAGTTACATAGATAATGTAGCAAACTACATTGAGAAACACATATATGGTTATATATGCATTATGACAGCCAGTAATACTCTTTTTTTTATTTATAATAATTTACAAATTGTTAAAAATCGAAATTATATATAAAAAAAAATTAGAGTTGAATAAATTTCAAAAAATTTATAATCAAGTCTTATCTATCAAGTCTTACTTTAAAAGAGTTCAAAGACTGTGCATTCACCACATGAACCAGTAGTGCATTCCATTTATTCCCAATACAGTTACTAAAAAATGCTTGTCAAGAAAAAGAATGCTTGACATTTTCTTTTTCAACTCTTAGACTATGACCTTTTTTTGCTGATGCTGGTCCCTTTGCTCGCAATGACAGTGCAAATTGTTGTGGTTCAAGCCATGTAATATGATCTATACTGTTCAATAATTTCTATTCTTGTATTGTATCGCCCCGTAAATACCTAGTCTCCAACGCAGTCAATTTCATTTTGGATCGCTCCTCATAACACAGATGTTTAAGATTCTGTACCAGTTTGGTTGCGCAGCGTTGGACTTTTTCTAGTGTTTCAATGTCACCTTTCAAAGTAGGATTCTTTACAGGGAATGCAAACTCAAGGTGCGGTCTAACTAGCACTGTGTACAGAGTATAAATTATTTCTGTATTTAAATGAGTGAAGGTACGCTTAATGACTCTGAGTACATTCTGCGCTTTTGCTGCTGCTGTGTTAACTTGATGATGCCATTTGATGTCTGATAAGATTAATACGCTGAGGTCACGTTCTACTGTTGTTTTACCTAGTTTGTACACAGCACCATTTTCTGTAATCATATAGATGGTCTTAGGGTTTTTTTTTGCCAATGTGCATAACATTGCACTTCTCTTTGTTGAATACCATAAACCATATACTTGTCCATTCAACTAACTTGTTGATATCGTTTTGCAAACTGATTGTATCTGAAATGTTTTTAATTGGTTTCATTAGCTTGCTGTTGTCAGTGTAAAGTTTGCATACACATTTTAGTGTTTCTAGAATGTTGTTGATAAATATCAAAAACAAAAGAGGCCCAAGAACAGATACCTGAATAACACCACTGAGTATATTTAACCATAACGATGAAACTTCTCTCATTACAAGGAATCGCCTATAATTGGTTAAAAAAACCTTGGTCCATCTCAATAAAACATCGGATATGCCATATGCTTTACACTTAAATAACAGCCTCTTGTGCGATACCTTGTCAAAGACCTTGCTAAAATCAAGGTATATCATGACACTTGTACTCCATGTATGTTGTCAAAAAATCCATTGTTTCCAGTAAGTTGGTTATGCAACCCCTTTTCTTCATAAAACCATGCTGGTGTCGTGATAGAGCATCATGTTGTTGCAAATGGTCAATTGACAATTTTTTCCTTGTTAAAGATTATTGCACCTGTATTGTCTCTCAACATTTGTAATTTATGTTTTAACTTTGTGTGTCTTTTCGCATACAAATAGAATATCTGAGGATCTGTCTTTCATAATCGCTCACTTGTTTCTTTTTTCACATTCTTTTTTGTCACTTTTTATACATTTAAGAATTCAATATTTTTATGACTTCTTGCTCTTAGATGACTCCACAGTATTTTTTTAAGAGATATTAGTCGCTTAACTTCAGACGGTATACATGGATCCTTTATTGTATTTTTTGTTACATTTTGTTTGGGCAAAATAAATTGGTGACACATGTTGTTATACTTTTCTAAGAAGATTTCATAACACTCACTTGCTGATTTTCCTGCAAACTCCTTCTCCCAGTCCTTATCCCTTATCCCAGTCCTTATCCTTTATCCAACTCCTTATTCCAGTCAATACACTCTAGTGCTGCATTCATTCTTGTATAATCACATTTCTTGTAGGCATATGATTTGTTGTAATAGATTTCTCTTATGATGGTGCTGTTTGTGATGATGCTCCATTGAATGACATTGTGTCCCTTATCACTTGATCCTAGTGGTGGTCCTATTTCCATGTTTATTACAAGATCTAGAATGTTTGATTGTTTTCCATCATCAATATGAAACGTTGGTTCGGACACGCACTGGTAGAGATAATTTTTGTTTAAATTGTCAACAAATTTTTGGCTTCTTCTATGATTTGGTTTAATTTTTTTTTTTTTTTTTTTTTTTAATTATTCACCTCACTAAGGCTCATGGGGGCCACTACAGTCGAGGAGGCTACTTATTTTTTTTTTTTTTTTTTTGTAAATTGTGGTACAACCCTCTCTCAACTCTTTAACTCTGAAACACGAACCTTGACAAGCAAGGTCGCTGCGCGGAGAAATTAAGTTGAGCGCGGTACTTGCAGGGACATGGTGGGAGTCGAACTCTGAACCTCTCGCTTACAAAGCGAGCGCTCTTACCACTACACCACTACCGCATTTCAGTGTTTAATTCAGGTGTGGTGTTTGGTGGCCTGTAAAAACACCCCAGAAGTATGTGGTCCTCTGTTGATAGCTTGGCACTACACCACACTTGTTTAACAGTTTTTTTGCATGCAATCATGTAACAGTCACCTGTGGTTATAATAGAGTCTTTTACATAGATTGCAGTCTCTCTACCAATATCTATTGATTTATTTTTTTTGTAGCATATATAACCATCTAAATTTATTATTGATGACTCAACCATGTCTCGGTTATCATAATCATGTCCGGATTTTACATCTGTATTCGAGCTTCATATTGGTGTCTTTTGTTGCTTAAGGAAGTGATGTTGGTATACCAGAATTTTAAACATGATGTTGGTGAATGGAATGGATTATGCTGTGGTTGTTATGCATTTGTGATTTTTTTGACTTGCTCCAGCTGTTGCAGATAAAGTATTTGCATTCATTTAAGTTGCTAATGTCGATTGGTTGTCTGTTAAAACTGTTGTCACTGCCGTATCTACAGGTGATACTTTAATCATAGCTACTGCTCCATTTCGGATGATGTACAAAGTTGACATGTCGATTCGTGCAGCATTTAGGTGGTTTCGATTGTTCACTACTTGCTTTCATATAATTTGTTGAGCGTGAATCAAATCAGGAATAATGCATACTGTACGTTGGTAACGAACACTGTCTTTCAGCTTTTTTGCCGCTTTCAACACTATTGCCTGGTATTCTGTACTCTTTAACTCAATAAACATTGTACTTGGTTTATTCATTAAATTTAACCTGTAAATTTTTTTGATCTTGCTACTATTAAGGTTCAAACAGTCAAACACTCTTTTTATTTCGTTCTTGTTGTCATTTTTTTGGTCTATTTCCACTGTTTTGGTTAATTCTAAAATCCCAAATATGATAACATTTCTTTCTTTATTTGTTTTGTCCTGTGTCTTTTTACTAATTGCATTTAAAATGATGGCAATGATATCTACATTGATGGATCAAGCTGTATCTGATGCAACCACTGAGAATAACTTTTTACTAGTTAGAGATGTTTGAGCTAGGTTGGTTTCAAGCTTGTCTAGTCTATCAACCAATTCAGCATTTTCAATTCTAAGTTTTATGTTGCCTTGAGACAGTAGAGCTATCTGTGTTTTCATCTCCTTAAGTTCCTTGGTCATCTCAGCTTTAAAATCATTAACATTTTTTCAATTCTAGGTTTCTAACCATGTTGATCCTCGATAGGAGGGCCACCTTAATAACAGTGGATTACCTCCCGTCTGTTAAATATATATTGCAATTATTATTAGTTATAACCTTGGCAAACAAATGTTGCTTATTATCACAAATAGAACTGTTAGTTTTTTTTGTGTTTTGTTCCGATATTATATCAGATATCCCCATAAAATATCTGATCTGCAAGATAAACAGTTAGATTGTTTAAAGAGAAAACACGAAAGATCTTTGGATTACAAGCAATTTTTTAAATTTTATTTAAAATATAATATGCCTGTCAAGATTTAATATGTTATAAAGAATCCTAACTTAAGTGATAGTTCCAGACCTGTGAAATCTTAAGTTCTTGAATGCTATTTTTAGGTGAGGACTTTGATCAGTGGTATTATTATTTAAAATAATGCAATGACTATTAAATTAATATTCATCAAGGAAACAGAAGAAAAAGAGCTTTAACTACCAGCATGAAATATTTTTGTTAACTTTTACTCAAGTAAAAGTTAACAAAAATATTTCATATTTAGTAAGTGTCCATTCTTGCATGGCTTCTTATTTGTTGACTAAGAAGCCAAGCAAGAATGAGTTTTGGTTTATTGTAATCGAGATGATAGCTTGTTTGAGCATTGATGATGATTAGAGAAACAGCCTAAAAGAGGAAGGCTAAAGCCTGATGATGTCATCATCAGATGATGATGACATCATCACACGATAATGATGATAACGTGACAACATCATACAATGATGATGATAACGATGATGATAATGACAATGATGATAATGATAATAATGATGATGGTGATGATGATGATAATAATGATGATGATGATCATGATGATGATTATGATGATGATGATGATGATGATGATGATGATGATGATGATGATGATGATGATGATGATGATGATGATAATAATGTTGATGATCATAATGATATTTATATACAAATATATACAACATCAAACAATACAAAATATATACATATATTACATAAATACAAAATCAAACAAAAATTTTGAAGAAAAAAAATAAACTTTAGGATGGATAAATGTTTATGCACAAACCCAGCCCCAGCTATAATTTATCAAACCAGGCCCCGGTTCCAATCAAATATCAACCCCGGTCGTTTACTAAACACATAACTTTGAGTGAATAAAACACATTTTTTAGGAAATTTATGGGTTTAAACAAAGATTCTAGCTCTATTGATCTAAAGGTTCTAGCTCTTTTGATCTATAAAGTTATCTATAAAGATCTATAAAGATCTATAAAGTATATAGTTTTGATCTATAAAGTTATCTATAAAGATCTATAAAGATCTATAAAGTATATAGTTTTGATCTATAAAGTTATCTATAAAGATCTATAAAGATCTATAAAGTATATAGTTTTGATCTATAAAGTTATCTATAAAGATCTATAAAGATCTATAAAGTATATAGTTTTGATCTACAAAGTTATCTATAAAGATCTATAAAGTATATAGTTTTGATCTATAAAGTTATCTATAAAGATCTATAAAGATCTATAAAGTAAAAGTTCTAGCTCTTTTGATCTATAACAATGATAAGGATGTTTTTTAATTTTTTAAAACACTTAGGAGCTAACTGATTAGGGAAAATCCTAAAAATGTTCAAAAAAAGAGTTAGTAAAATTCTTAAATTTTGTATAAACAAAACCCTGAAGACTTCCATCACCTGAGCCTGGTCCATCTCAATATCAGCTGACTATATCCTGAAAATATATTTTGAGTTTTGTCCTTGAATTGAGGCTGTGATCAAAACTAGTGGTGGTTATATTAAGTATAATTATTCATTTACTAAAATATTACTAATATTACTAAATTATGTTAAAATTTTCAATCAAAAAACATTTACTAGCTTTTCTTTAGTTTTTTTTTTTTTTTTTTGGAATTTTTTCAAAATCCGTAGTGTTACTATTCAATGTAGTTTAGGCGAATTGTTAAAGCTTAAATTTTTTTATAAAAATCTCATCTTTAACAATCTATAAATTAGCTTTTAAATAAAATAAAATATACGAAAGTTTTTTTTTTTAATAAAACTACTTATTGTGTTTTAAAAAAAAAATACAAAAAGTAGTTGTTCTTTTAACATTTGGGTGTTATTGCTTACAAGACTTGGCATGAACATATGTTCTATAAAAAAAAGAGGGTTCAAATATCCTATAAGAAAATTCCAGAGGGTTCAAATCTGGAGAGGCAAGATTTCTTAGGGCCAGTAAGAAATATTCTCAGAGAGCCACTGACTTGTGTGGATTTCTCATGATTCAGCCTTTGAGGCTTCTTGGCATACTTTTATTAATAATTGTATTTTGTCCACCAGATCCTAATTTATTGTCTAACAATGCCACAATTTTAAAGAATTGTTTTTTAACAGCAAAAGCTGCTGACCGTGCAACTTCCATCTCCATCTTTTCTTTCATTTAAAAGTTAGCAATTTTTCAGCATTGTTTGGACAAGGCATAATGCACTATATAACACCACAAAAGCTAATACTTGTTGATTTTGGTGTGATTTTTGGATAGACCAATAACTTGTCATTTGACTTCTTGTGATAGTGATTTTCTGCCAACTATCCTGCTTTAGATGTATCAAGAATTTACCAAAAATAATACCTTTTGAATTACTGGTTAGAAATTGATTTTTTTTTTTTTAATTTATTTGTAACTTATGTGTCAAAACAAGTTAAAATTTTAGGATTCTTGTATAATTAATTTAAGAGTTTTAATTAATTAACCTTAAAATTTTGACACATTTTTTAATTAATAGGGTTGTTTTAACTCTAAATTAAAACTCAAAGGTTTTTTAACTACTTATTTAAAAAATGAAGAGATAACTAAATAGTTGTCACAAAAAGTCTACCATAACCCAATGTATATATTAATAATTTATTCAACAACCAAAATTTAATCATAATACAAAAATGTGTATTAAATTTATTAACAATAAAAATAATGACATACTGTTTCTGTATTAATAGGGCTTAACATTTGCTGTGGTGAAGTCGTTAGGCTTAAAAGTTGAGTTTGTCGCATCTAAAAGAAAAAAAATAAAAATAAAAACAGAATAATACTAATATACTTAAACCCTTTTTTTTTTCTCTTTTTTTTTTTTTTGCGCAAAACTTATAAAATTAAGCATGTTAACTAGCCTTTATACAGTCCATTTACTGGACCATTTCAATCTAATATAATGAGGGACTTTCACAATTGAAGAGGACTTTTTCCTCAATTTTAGGGGACCATTATATGTATACATATATAACATACATACATACATACATACATACATACATACATACATACATACATACATACATACATATATATATATATATATATATATATATATATATATATATATATATATATATATATATATATATATATATATATATATATATATATATATATATATATATATATATATATATATATATATATATAAACTTGGAAAAAGAATCATCATTTTACTATTTTATTAGGAATTCAAATAAAACATTATATTTGCCAATTTTATTATAAATATTTCATTTAGAAATGTTTGTTTTTTAATTTTTTAAAATTGTTTTATTTACTGTTTAAATAAAAAGTTTGTGTTAAAATTTTTTTTATTATTATAAGATTTGAATAAAACGCTTGCTTTTTCATTAGTTTTTCGTAAAAAACTGGTTTAGTCAATTAAATAAGTTAATTTAAATGTTTGTGTTTTTATTTTATTTAGAATTTATATAAAACATTCTGTTTTTATTTTATTTATTTTGTTTTCTGTTTAAATAAAAGGTTTATATTTAGAATTCAATTAAAACAATTAAAGGATCTGATTATAAGGTTTTGCCATTTTTAATTTATTTATCTTATTAAGAGTTTAAATTAAACATTTACTTTTCCCTTGTTTTTTTGTAACATTTTATTTAAAAGTTAAATAAGTTTGTTTTGCTGTTTTTATATTTAAATTAGTTTGTTAAAAAATTAAATAACTCATTTTTTATTCCATTTTTAATTATTTTATTTAGAATTAAAATAAACGTTGGATTTGCCTTTTTTTTATAATTATTTCATTAAGAATTAAAAAAAAATATTTGTTTTGTAAAAATTATAATAAAAAAAATAAAAATAAAAAGTTGGCGTTCATTTCCCAAAATTCTGACAGAAAAAAAAAAAAGATATATATA